CATTGTTGGAGTTTAATGAAATTTTCAGGACTTCTTAAATAAATGTTTTTATTAGAAAATTTTTGCAAAAGTATTTTTTCTTTTTACATGTCTCACCCTCTTATTTAATTTTATGAAAACTTTTGAAATTCAATGTGATAATTTTTAGTAACTATATTAATTAAAAGCAGAATTATTTGGAGAATTTCAATCAGATTTTCTTTTTTTTAATTGGACCCTGTCTTCCCAAAAATCTGCTCTAAATTGAAAAATAAAAAACCCAATAAAACTAAGACATTATTAGAGAAGCTTTTAATTGCTTTTATGAATAATACATATTAAAGACTATTGTCTGAAGAAAAAAATTTTTTTTACAGGATTTGTTTCCATTTTTGTAAAAATTTTAATTAGAATTTATACAGGGTGTTTCAAAAAGAATACACCAAAATCATCATGTGATATGTCAAAAACGAAAAAAATTACAAACCTCTAGCATGAACACATGTGTTATATATACATTCAAGTTTCATTTCATGTTTTATAAGTGCTCAATGTAGCCACCACCGGCAGCGCGGACAACATCAAGCCGATAGAATTCCTCCCAAGCGCGCCTCAGCATGTCACGGTCCACCGTGTTGATTGCAGCTGTTATTCGATTTTTCAAGTCATCGATACTTGCTGGAATTGCTGGAACATAAACTTGGTCTTTAACATACCCCCACAAGAAAAAGTCACACACAGTGAGGTCCGGAGATCTGGCAGGCCAAGCACTGAGCGCAAGGTCTTTAGCACCTCTCCTCCCAATCCATCGCTGAGACACGTTTTCATTCAGATAAGATCTAACCCTGAGATGCCAATGGGGTAGTACTCCATCTTGCTGAAAAATGAAGTCATTCAAATCTGCTTGCAGTAAAGTGAATAGCCATTTTGGGAGCATTTCGAGATAGGTTTGTCCTGTTTGTAGCTGCACCGGAAGTTATACTAAAGACAGCGGTGAAACTGACACCCAATCAAACTTTGATAACTACTCTATCAAATAACCACTGATTCAGTCCACTACAATGCTATAGACCTGAAAAAACAGTGTAATGATTTTGGCGTATTCTTTTTGAAACAACCTGTATTTTTAAATCTTAAAATTCAGTTTCAATAGTGTAACTATTAGGAAAGATTATTATTAAGTAAAACTATATTTACTCATCATATATAATAATAAAGCTTATTACAATCTGGCACAACTGAATATTTTAAAAATAATTTTGTATTGTTTTTGTATGTATAAAAAATGTGCCAAATATTATAGATATGGTCGCCCATACATAACGCTATCAGAAAATAAGAGCAACAATTACAGTAAATTATGAGCCAAAATTCTCTAAAATTCAATAAAACATTAGATTATGGGGAATATTTTAGTAAATTTTTAAGATTACTGAATATTTAAAAGGTGTTCATGTTATATTCCTCTATTTTTTTTAAGGTTAAAGTCCCACTAGAACAACATTAGATAACAATCTATATGTAATTTAGCTGTTACAGGGATGTTTAAAAGCTGTCAACATAAATAAATAAGCTACTGTTGAGTTGAAAAATGCATTTCTGTGATATTTCAAACTTTAAAAAAAATAATAGTTGTTTCAAATCTGATTAATTATATTTTACATCAGCTAATATTCCTCAAATAAAGTATCAAAATGTGTATTTTATTTTGGGAAGATTTTTTAATAAAGAGATTTACATTTTTATGGGACTCTGCTAAAAATAGTGCTAAATTAAGTTTCAGAAATTTCAAAAACAATTCATTCCAATAAATTTAGTTTTGAAATACAGCATAGTATTTTGTTTATTGGAAATATTAAATTTAATCTCACAGCTTGAAAGCTTCAAGAAAGAGTTTTCATTGTTAAAAAATTCATTTTAAACATTAGGTATCATGTTTTTGCAGAGGGTACTATCTTGCATGCAGACAAGCTGAACAATTGTATAAGATTTTCTTGTCTTCATATGAAAAACAAAAATTGAAAACTTAAACTCTTTCTTTTGGCTATTGAAAAGTGTGATACTTAGTAGACTTGTAGGAAATTTGGTTGTCTAAGATTTTATATTAAAAATTTGAATGTCCAAAGTTCAAACAATAAAATAAAGAAAACATGACTTGCCTGTTAAATAAATCATTTTTATTTACAAACATGAAATTAAGAGTAAAAAATAGTCATTAGTTGAGTTAAAATCTTTGTGTACTTGGTTCACAGAAATAAATTTAGTTTAGAAAAACACTTTTAAAGAGTTGGTCCACGGGAAAAAGAAAGCTGCAATTGAGATAGACTTGTATTGCTAAAGATGATTTGTTTAAAGTTGCTGACTGGCTGTCCATGCTGTTGTTGGAGATGATTTGTTTGAAGTTGCTAACAGATGTTTCTTTCAGTATGCACTGTGGGAAGCCAGTTAAATTTCTTTGGAGATGGTCACATCCCTGCTCTTGAAAGTTGAAATCTGTGGGTTTTTATAAGAAAACTTTCCTGAAATAAGGCTTGAGAAAAATGTAGTTTTAGTTTTCTGTGATTGATCAAATATTTGGTGGTGTTAATTTCTAACCAATAGACATTGTGATTTAAACAGTTTGTGTATTTGGAATGTTATGACATGATCTTCTTGGCAATCAAAATTGTCTGTAGTTGGGAGACATTAACTAATAAAGATAATGCCTGTTAAATAAATCAATTTAAAAGAGTAAAAATTGTCTTTAGTTGAGTTGAAGTCTTTGGGTAGTTGGTATACTGAAAAAACTGTAGTTTAGAAAAAACACTTTGAAATAGTTGGTCCACAGAAAAAATAAAGCTGTGGTTGAGAAAAGACTTTTATTATTAGTGTAGTGTTACTGTTGTTGGAGATGATTTGTTTGAAGTTGCCAACATGTTTCTTTTAGCATGCACTGTGGGGAACCAGTTGCATCTCTTTGGGTTGGAGACTGTTGCATCTCTGCTCTTGTAAGAGAAAATCTGTGAATTTTTGTAAGAAGATTTTCCTGAAAGTAGGCTCCAGAAAAATATGGTTTTAGTTTTCTCTGATTGGTCAAATATATCACAGGATGATGTTAATTTCTAACCAATAGACACTTTGATTTAAATAGTATGTGTTGTACTGTGTAATCTTTTTGACATGTTTGTAAATATTGTCTGTTATTGAGTAGAAAATAATTATTTGGTCGTGTTTTAATATGGTATGTAATTGTGTTGGAAATAGGGTTTATTTCCTATTGATCTGTCCTATGAAGAATTTAGTTTTGAAAGCATTAACAAAAAAAAAAGATATAATCAGAAATCAAACCCGGTTAGTTGTTTCAGTTTTCAGTGTTGCTACCAACTCCACAATTTGTGCCTCTGTTACTGCTCCTCATGACAAATGTATAGCCAGTCTATTCTCCAGCATCAATCAGTCAAATCATTAAAATCTTTGAAACTAATTTTGCTGTATTTTAGAGAGAAGTGGTTTTGCTGCCATATCTGCAATAATATATTTGTCAGTAAATGGTGATTGTGTTTTATTGATGGAGTTTCTGGTCAATACCACAGCTTGAAATAACATTTCATGAGAGCCACAGAAATATCAATGCCTTGTAAGAAGTTAGTGTAAATAATGCAGACCGACCACAGCCTGATGTGAATATAAATAACTCTAGATTCATGTAACACAATACAATTGGTGCATCTTAGGAAAATTAAATGTACAAAAGAAAAAGATGAATACAAAGTAACCATAAATATTTTCACTAGTTATTTTTACAGAAGTGAAAATGTTCAATCTCTTAAAGAGTTTTCTTTTTTTAACAAAAAGAAAATCAGTTTATATACAAGTTCTTCTTTAATAAGATTTTCTTGAACATTCACGTTGTAAAATGAAAATAAATATGCTGTTTAATAAACAAATGGAACAATGAAATATTAACAGCCAATAAAAATAACATTTAAAGTAGTTACCTCAACAAAAACGTGATGATATCTAACATTTAAAATTTTTAATGAAAAATCTTTTACTTCAGTTTTAATTTCAAGCTGATAGATTAAATTTAATATTTCCAATAAGCAAAATTAGTATAGTGTATTTCAAAACTAATTTAAATTGATTGGTAGGAGTTTTCATTGAAATTACTAGTTTTTTTAATTTCATGCCATTTTTTTCTGTTTTTAGCAAACTTGTAAAAATGCAAATCTTTTTATTAAAAAAAAAATCTTCCAAAAATAAAATATGCTTTTCTGAAACTTTATATGAGGAATATTAGTTGATTTAAAGTATAATTAATCTGATTTGAAACAAATATTATTTACTTTAAGTTTAAAATATTGCAGAGATGCATTTTTTAATATGGTAGTAGCTGTTTATTTATGTTGACAGCTTTTCAACAGCTCAATGACAAACTTTTATCTAATATTGTTCTATGGGAACTTTAACAGTAAAAAAAATAATTGAGGAATATAACACAGCTGCCTTTTAAGTATTCAGTAATCTTAAAAACATAAGAAAATATTCTCTGCAATCTAATGTTTTATTGAATTTTAGGGAATTTGGGCTCTAAATTTACTATAGATATCGATCTAATTTTCTGATAATTTTGAGTATGGGCAACTGTATCAAATTTATACGCATACAAAAAAAAATTCTTTTAAAAATATTCGGGTTGTCAGATTCTAATAAGCTTTATGATATGATTAGTAAATATAGTTTTACTTAAAAACAGTCTTTCCTAAAAGTTACACCAGTGAAATTGAATTTTAAGATTTAAAAACTTTATAAATTATCCTAATTGTAAAAAAAGAAAAAAAAAAGAAAACAAATCTTGTAAAAATTCATTTTTGGCATAATTTTTTAAAAACAATATTGTCTTTAATATATATTCATAAAAGAGATTAAAGCTTCTTTAATTAATGTCTTAGTTTTATTGCATTTTTTATTTTAGAATATGTGAGAAAAGATAATAAGATTACTTTTTAGCATTTTCTGGAATTATGGCCACATAATATTGGAACATTGGTTACTGTATGATCACTGAAGTCAAGCAATGTTGGGCCTGGTCAATACCTAGATGGGTGACTGCTTGGGAATACCAGGTGCTGTAATTTTGAATGTGTGAGTGGTGTAATGGATAATGACTTATAATTGTTAGTCAGCTGAGTTTTGATTCCCATTATATTAACTTACATGCAAATACCCTTAGTATTAAGTAATCTTAAAAATATTCCCTGCAATCTAATGTTTTATGGAATTTTAGAAAATCCATCTCTTCTCCTACCAGCTATGGGTTAATTATAAAACTTATATCACTAAACCATTATTATATCTCCCACCAAAAAAAAAAAAAAAACTTACAATCTAAAAATATGTTCTGGCTTTAAATAATTTACATTTTGGTACTTGTAGGTTATCTATTGCCACTTTGTAATTTACGTATTGGTGATCTTTTATAAAGTTAGATGTAGTATTTAAAATGTTTTCTTTTCTTTTTGAATCCTAAAAAAATCTTTGGGATAGTATATCTTATTATCTAAAAATATATTCTGACTTTAAGTAATCTGAAATGATTTGATAAGCTATAGGAAACGAATCAATAAAGAAAAAGAAATCTAGAATTGTTCTACCTGCTACTACATTTTTTATTTTTATTTTTGGTATCTGTTGGTTAGATGTCACCATTTTTTAATTTATATATTGGTGATCTTTTATAAAGTTAGATGTGGTATTTGAAATGTTTTTTTTTTTTTTTCAGACTGTTAAACAATCTTGGGATAGTATATCTTTACACATCTGTATTTGAAAAATTAATTTAAAAAGTGGCGACAGATAACCCACAAATAATTTTGTTTTTTCTTTGAGGATTGAAAAAACACAAGCACCTTACTGTTTTAAAATTCTTTTTTTTTTTGCATTGTGTGTACAGACTTGATTTTTTTTTTTTGTATACTGAAGAAATGGATTACTAATATTATGTAATGCATTGTTTTGCATGTATGATTTGACATTGAAAAAACACAAGTGTGCTGACATACTTTTTTGATCACTCTTTATGGAGTTCTTGGCTACAGTCTATCTTGTAATCCACCAGACTGTGGTACCTCTGGAAGCAGGGGTATGGGCAGAGTGCCACATCACACTTTCTGCACACAAACTGAGTCTGGTGGCGCTTCTTGTCTCTATTTGAACATACAGCACAATCTGGACGAGAAGGCCTGCCAGATTTAAGGCGCTTGGGGTTGATAATAAGGTGGTGTTCTGTTAATACCAGCCTTGCTGGGGGGTCCTCTACTCTCCTACCTCTCCTGTGAGATACATCTGATTGGTAACCTTCCAGTAGAGAATGCACAATCCTCAGCCTGAACTTTGCGGTATTGACCCGGCGAGCTGACTTGGCTTTCCAAATGACCAGAGCATTGCAGAAACATACTTCAAGAAGATAAAAGAAAACTCTCTTCCACCACTTGGTACATCTGTGCTGCACCATGTATGACATCTGTTTGTCTGTGCTCCCTATCCCTCCCATGTGCTGAGAGAAGGACTGCATAGCCCAGGGTATGTACACAATCATAGTATGATTTTCATGACGTTTCGGCTTAACGATTTTTCTGAAGGTCTCTGCAGAGTGTACAGTTGTCAAAAGATTCACTGGCTTTTCGTCATACCAAGAAATATACAAAATGTATCCATCTCTGTGTGTGACGGGGGGCTCACCTGCTCGTGGATTTGCTGTTTTTATTTCATGAGGCACACCTTGGCGATTTACACGTAGTGTGCCGCATGCTCCTGTCCCATGTTGGGCTAGGTAGTGAAATAATGCCGGTGATGAGAAAAAATTGTCCATGTAAATGACATGCCCTTTATTTTGCACATCCTCTGAGAGGGAGGAAATGACTTGATACGGAACATTAACTGCCCTTGATGTCTGGTCCGTTTCTCCGCCCAAGTACAGGTGCCAGTTGTAGATATAGCCGGTTTTCGCGTCAGTCAGCCCCCAGGCTTTTAGGCCCCACTTGTTTGATTTTGCTGGCATATAGACCAGTTGGCCTATTCTTCCTTTGGCAGGAATTATACTTTCAATCACTGAAAGTTCTTTTGCGGGATAAAAGTATTTCTGCCAAAGTGGTACAAGTTTTTCTAAAAGTGGTCGGATTTTTTGTGCTCTATCATGCTCAGGGTGATTTCTTGGTTTTGCTTTTGAGTTGTCCGAAAGATGGAAAAAAGACAAGATGCTAAGGAATCTGTCTCTTGGCATGATGTACCTGAAGCCTGGCATCTCGATGATGTCATCATTGGTCCAGTATAATTCAAATGATGAGCGTTTCGTAAGTCCAATTAGAAGTAAAATAGCTACAAATGCCTTCATGTCATCGAAAGTGACGTCCCTCCATGTGTTGGTATACGAATAAACGCTAGCATTTGGACCCCGACTTTCCTTCATTTGATTAGCATATAGATTTGTCTCATTGACAAACAATGTTATTATTTCGTCATTTATGAAGAAACGAAATAGCTGCCCCTCGGAAATGTCATCAGGTACCTCCTTGGGGCCAGTAATTTCCTTAAAATCCGTCAGCCATGAATGATAATATCGGCTCGGTACATCACCATTTTCGATATCACTATCATCGATGTAATCGTCCTCCTCACTATCATCATCGATATCTACCTGGGTAAATACCTGAGAATCATCTTCAGAGTCCGAATCGAAGAAGATTTCTTCAAGAAAAGCTTCATCAAATGCAGGTGAGGTCATTCTCGTCCGTATAGAGATATAAAAAAAAAAAAAAACAAAAAAAAAAACTCGCGTTCAATTTAAAAACATTTCTATACCACGTGTCGATTGAAAAATAATGCAACTGGCGTTAGAAAACGGAAGCTTAGCCTCGTTCTGAATCGCAAGTCGGTTGTTTTCAGCTGAAAATACCGGAAATAAACTTTGCGAAGTGTTTATAAATAAACACGCGTCTCATGACGACACAATGCGCATGCGGCTTCAGGGGAGAAAACTCTTACGGCGACATGATGCGCTTACAGCGTGCTGCTGGGATTTATTTATGTCCACCGTAAAATCTGGTATTAAAAAAATGGTAAATTAGTTTTAGATCTTTTTAAAAAAATCTGATATTATATATATTTTAAATTGGTATTCTAAGTTTTTGAAAAGAGATCTTGTAAAAAGGTTTCTAATGAAACCTTACACCCTTTTGACTAAAATGAAAATGAGCTTCTGCTTACATGAAAAAAAAAAAAAAATGCCCCAAACTTAATAAAAACAGTTTCACTTATCCGATCGTCAGCATTTTTGTTATTAGGAGGAAAGACCACATGATTTTTTTGATTATTAAATTATTTTCATTTTTTATTTTTTTTTTTTAGAACCTTTGGAAAATGTTGGTTTAAAAATCTTTTTTTCTTCCAACAGCGGGTGAATCTTAGGATATTTTAAAAACGCCTTTTTTGGGTTTTTACCGCAAAACTGATTTGGAAATTCTTGACAAAATCAAGTAATTGTCGGATTTTAATGAAACTTTCAAAACTTATTCACAAATGGATGAATTTATTTTTGCAACGTTTCTTTTTTAGAAAAACTTGGTTTAAAATATATTTTTTTTTTACATATGTTACTCCGCCACCTCGCTTAATTTTAAAATGAAATTTAAAGAAATTCTTTTTTCTGTTGCTTGTAAAGCAGAAGTCTTTGGAAAATTTAAAAGATCATTAAGTAATCAATTTCTTTTTGTAAAACTAAAACAAAACAGGACACCCATTTACCTAAATTTTCCTCTGAATTGTTAAATAAAAATTGCAATAAAAAACTAAGACATTATTGCTTCTATGAATAATATTTTCTTAAAAAAAATTTGTTCAATGAATAAGGAATTTTTACAAGAATTGTTTCTTCCATTTTTTTACATTTTAATTAGAAAGTTTACAATGTTTTAAAATTCTGCATAAATTTCCCGGTGATATTGTTATTAAAAACAATATTTACTAATCAATGAAAGTCTCCACCCCCACACTATTTTGAAAAGAATTTTGATTTTGTGCGTGTTAAACGTGCCAATTTTTGTAAATACGGTCATAGATGACATTATGAGTACAGTGTAACCCGGATATAAGAGAAACCCGGATATGAGATTTTCTATGGTCCCAAATTAGTGCTTGTGTTAATGTATATAAATTTGACCAAACCCGGATATAAGAGAAACCCAGATATAAGAGACTTCTTCTCCAGTCCCGACAACTCTCTTATATCCGGGTTACACTGAAAGTAAATTTAAAGCCAAAGTACCTAAAATCCACTAAGATATTAGATTACTTAGAATATTTTCCTAAATTTTCAAGATTACTAGGTAGTTAAAAAAAAAAAAAATTATAAAAAAGAAGGCGCACACATTATACATCAACTAATTTATATATATATATATATATATCTCATAGAAAAAAAGTTAAATTTCCAGCTGTCAATAGAGCTGTCCAGACCTCATAAAAACATTCACCGCCATGTTAAAAAATGCATTTCTGCAATTAAACTAAAAAGTAATATTTAATTTAAAATCTGCTAATATTCCATAAATAAAGTTTGAGATAGGTTTTATTTTAGAAAGAATTTTTTTAATAAAGAAAATGTACTTTGTGCTGAGAGAATTGTAAATCTTGTTAAATCAGACATTTTTGGAAATTAAAAAAAAATAAACACCTTCCAATCATTTTAAATTAGTTTTGAAATACAGCAAAGTATTTTGCTTATTGGAAATATTAAAATAAAATATTAAACTAAAATAAAAGCTTCAAGAAAGATTTTTCATTTTTAAAAAATCATTTTAAACTTTAGCTGTTTATTGGGCAGTACCTATATTACAGGTTTCTAGCAAAAAATATGGTATAGGTGCCGGAGTTAACTGCTCCTTAATTGTCCAAATTCTTCACTTGGGGTCGCTCTCCCTATACTATAAATACTGAGTGATTTCTTGTCTCGTCCTCTGTTTCATTTCTTCATTTTCAGAAAACACATCTACAGTGTAAGCTCTTGCAGAACATTGTGTCTTCCTACTTGTGGGAGACACCATGAACATTATACACACATACGTATGAACATTCACCA